GTGTTGTATGAAGTTGGAATGTTGGGTTGTACTTGTCTAGGTCCCCGTTTGGCAAGTGTGTCTGCTCTGTCATTTCCAGGTATGTCTGAGTGTCCGGGAATCCACTGCGTCACCAGGCTGACGCCACAGAATGTTATCAGGTGAAGGGAGCCAAACAGTAGAGGTGTCAACTCTTCGTTTAGATGGTGGTCAGTTTCTATTGCTTGCAAGACTGACTGATAGTGAGTCAGTGAAGATCACTATACTCTGTGTTTTGTTTGGATGAGTGTCAAAAACTGTGCGGAGATGGTATAGAGATGTTTCAATTGCTATCATTTCTGCGCCGTAGTTGTTGCATTTCTCTCCACAGGCAGCAGAGATCTCATTGGGAACTTCCATCTATTGTATTAGTATTCCATATATCCGGCTTTGGTTGTGCCTTTGAATGCTGAGCCGTCTGTATAGACGTGTATCCAGTCATCTGAATAGCTGTCGATTGTTTGATGTGATGCAAGCAAACATCGACTTCACTGGGTCTGAAGGTTTTGTGCTATAGGATTGTCTCCGAGAGATGTTTTAATGATTGGTTTTTCCATAGAAATGTGGGGAGGGATGTTTTGGTTGACTCTTTTGGTTTCTTTTCTGTTTTGTGGGCCAACCCAGGATGAATGGAATGTAGTAGCTCATCCCAGCAGACGGACAGAGAATTCTAGACTCTAGGTTAAGAAACTTCGTGATATGAGAATAAAACTCAAATCGTCTGTGACCAACAGTGGAAAGCCTTCTAATCTATTATATAATGAAGACATTGATCCAGAGCATGGAATGAAAGTGAAGTGGAATGTGCAATAAAATAGAAGAGTGCAGGTACAAAATAACGAAAATGGCAGAATCTGGGGAAGAACTTCCGTGTCCGTAACGAGCAACCACCCCAACAAACACAATAAAGAAGAGACCTAGATCTAACCCCAAGCCTACCCCTCTCTTCTACTCTGTCTCACAGTGTGGTCCCTCGTTCCGTAAGTCCTCCCAGGCCTCCAGTTCAGAGTTACATCACTTTATATGTTTTCTTCGTCACAACCATGATTGGAGTCATCTCCTACTAAGCTCATTAATGACTTCACATTGCAAGAACACTTTTTCAGAAACATGACAGTGTTTTTCATAACGCACTTATCTGAACATTTTATTTCTTATTGTCTGAACATCTCACCATAGCCTCAGCTTCTTGTTATAAAATAAAATAATCGGAGGACTACAAGATAACTATTTGTAATCCATTTTAAATTCTACTTGTTTCAGAAAATCATTAAACAATATTAATTAAAAAAGAGAAAAAAATGTACTACAGATAGAAAGCATGGATTTAATTTTGGTGGAAGTGGTTGGGGTGTCCAGAAGGTAAACAGTCATTTCGTCACACCCCAAATAAGTGTGACGAAATGACTTCGCTTCTCTCCAAAATTGTAGGCTAATATAGAGTTTTGGAGGATCAGCCTAAAGCTTTTTTTTAAAGTAATAATTATTAATGTAAATTAAATTTTCGTCTAAACCGTTTCAATAGCTGAACAATAGTTTTTAAAATAAGTAAAAACAATGTCTGGTAAAGAGTTAGTAAGGCTTTATTTGAAAGTAAGGGTCTATAGCTTTTAGCAAAATTGCAGTACCGTACATTTATATTCAGTAAATTTATTTTTAACAGAACTATAATGATCTTGCCAATCACACCTTTCATCAATAATACTTTAAAACTTTGCTGATCTGACTCGATAGATTTCAATATATTGTCAATGGGACTTACTTAATGAACGGCGTAGCTGATCAGGCAGGCACAACAAAGCCCCCTCCCCCCCCCCCCCCCCCCCCGGGTTATTCCACACACACCCCAACCTCCTCCCAAAAATCGTGATTTGTGATTGTCATGACAATACGTGTCTGATGTTCGCAAGCATGCTACATGTTCGTCTCCATTCAACCTTGTGGATTTGGTGTGCGACGAGATGACTGTGGCGTCTTGACTGCACAGGTGTGACGAAATTACCATGTGAAGAAATGACTGGTATTCGTCCAGATAGCGTAAGTTGACTGCCAGCACAGGCCTTTGGTTGGTCAAATAAAACCAAACAATATACAATAAAAGAGTAATTTTAAATAAAAGCTCAAAGTCAAAGACAAGACACGATTTCCAGGTTAGGCCTACACTGATGTCAGTTTAGCCCTCTTTCCCTAAGCAAACACATACAAGAGGAACAATCAATCAATAATGTCTACAGACAGAGCCAAGAAAAAACAAGAAAAAGAAAAATTGAGATAAAAGAGAAAGAAAAGGACTGGAACTACAGAAAGCACAGAATACAGAACATTCAAATTTTGAAAGAGGATTAAGACTAAAGAAAATGTGAAATAGAATCTAATTTGAAAGAGGACTACACTACTAGTAGGCTACAGATCTTGATAGTTTTATATACTTTTTTCTAGTAGTATTTTGCAGGCTGAACACGAATATGGTCTTCATTTTTTGCCTCAAATCAATAGCTATCGGGTTATTATTGATGTATGAAAATAGTAATATTTGACTTGATTTTAACAACATGGGGGGTTTCAGGGGGATTTCACAATGATTAGATGTTTTGGCAATAAGGATTTATATATATATTTAGTTAATTTACCTGAAAACAATTGATTTGCAAGGGTTTTAGTGGCCATACCTGTGTTCTCACAGCAAAAGTTATAGGCTATTTAGCCCGCAAATCAATGCATCTGTGTGTGGGTGCATAAATAAGTAAAAATGTACCGATTTTTTAATCATAAGTTATTTTTAATAATTCAAAAATTAGCCTCAATAAATTAAAGCTCGCCGATCTGCTGCTGATACTGCACTTAAATGGAGCATTGTCTAACATAACACAAAATCTAGACATACCTTCGAGTTAAACAAAAGAATAGGCCTTGATCTAATCTAGAGGTTAAGGTGTTGGCCTCTCATTCAAAGGTCCCGGGATCGAATCCGGGTAGCGACCGAAAAATTTTCTTCTCTAAAATTGTCTCCTTTCACCTCCTTTCCTGCTCTCTAGCAATGTTCTATTGTCTGCTTTCAATTCCACTTTCTGCCCCCACCCCCTCACCTCCTTTGCCCCCTCCTCTGGGCTCCTGACTCTTTCTGCAGCCTTTCTACTGCTACTCCTTGGCTCATCCTAACTGCTGTCTTTCTGCCACACCCCTGATCTTCTGGTAGGAAAGATCTACACCTAGCCTTCTCGGACAAGGGCGAAAAATCTCGGAGGGCCCGTGTGCAAGTTGCGCACGTTAAAGATCCCTTGGTGGTCTAAAATCAATAACAGTAGGCTTCCGCCGACACCCGGGCAAAATTCAACATTTCCTACCAACTGAAAATATTAGGTGTGTCCCGCGCGCTCATATGACCTATGCAGTTGCGAGCGCCGTAGAACACATTACAAAAACAAACAGATCTAATCTAGATATCGAGATTCTAAATAAGGGAACCAGTCACACGGTGAAGTCGACACAGCTGAAAAACGTGTGGTGAGTTCACAGAAAAAAAAAGTATCCAAATTTAACAGTGAACTCGTCACACCATTTTCCCCCTGCAAAGCCACCAGCCACCTTGTACCATTCTAGTTTAGATTTATTTTATTGCATACAGTAAAGACATGCAAATTTTTATAAGTATAACATAACATTGAACCTAAAAATGTATCCGTTTTCTCTTTAAAATGTTGAAACAGAAAGGCAGACATGGGTACATTTTTATCGGTGTGACTAGTTCTCCGAACGCTTGGGAAAGGAAAGTTGAAATGTATTTCTCCTAACAGTTTCTTTGTTTGTTTGTTTAGTATAGGGTTTTACGGCGCTCGCAACTGCATAATAAGGTCATATGAGCGCGCGGGACACACCTAATACTTTTTCGTTGGTAGGAAATTTTGAATTTTGCCCGGGTGGCGGCCGAAGCCTACTCTTATCGATTTTAGACCACCAAGGGATCTTTAACGTGCGCAACTTGCACACGGGCCCTCCGAGATTTTTCGCCCTTGTCCGAGAAGGCTAGGTGTAGATCTTACCTACCAGAAGATCAGGGGTGTGGCAGAAATACAGCAGTTAGGAGGAGCCAAGGAGTAGCAGTAGAAAGGCTGCAGAAAGAGTCAGGAGCCCAGAGGAGGGGGCAAAGGAGGTGAGGGGGTGGGGGCAGAAAGTGGAAATGAAAGCAGACAACAGAACATTGATAGAGATCAGGAAAGGATGTGAAAGGAGACAATTTTAGAGAAGAAAATTTTTTGGTCGCTACCCGGAATCGAACCCGGGACCTTTGAATGAGAGGCCAACACCTTAACCTCTAGGCCACGAGAGCCCCCCGAACAGTTTCTGATCTCGAGATTTTTTGGTTATATTTTTGCGAGATTTAAGCGTCATCCTTTCATTTTCTGCCATTCAGCGAGGACTGGGAGGAAGCATTTTTTGGATCGAATTCAATTTCAAGAGCTAATCTAGATCTAGATCTAGAGATTTTTAAATGTCTGAATATTCAGATACTTCAGTTGTGGTTAGAGCATTTGAAAATACCTTCAAAAGGTACTGTGAGAAAACAAGACTGCTCGACCTTGGCAGTAACCTATTTTGCATTAAGTCACACAGCAAAAACTAAAATCCTTCATATGTAAAAAAAAAAGGTAGTGTCAATTGTCACCGAGTGACGCAGTGGCAATTGACAAAAATTGACTTTTTGTCAATTGCCACCGAGTAAATTGGAGCTCTTTTGCGTTGGTGGGTAGATCTAGCTTATTGTGCTCGAGTGCTCGGTGTTGTGCGTTCGCCTCTCTGTCCATCTGTGTGTGTGTGTTTGTGTGTGTGTTTGCGTGTGTGTTTGCATGTGTGTGTGTGTCTTCTCCTGACCCCCGTCCCCTGATTTATGTTCCCCGATATAACGTGAATTTCTCCTTCAGTTTGTGAGCGTTTGTGACCTTCTACTTCTTGAATTGCCTGTGTTGGTTCTACACCAAAGTGTAGGCTAAGGCTAGCCTAGATCTAGGCCTACGTCTCATTGAAAACACGCCAAGTTGGTACCGTAGCTCTAGACTAGATGCTCGTCCAATGAAATTAGTTGAGAACAAATTGACCCATTAGACACACATATGTATAATGCTAAAGATAGTGTTGTTTTCAGACTTGACACCGCTTCACTCGGTGGCAATTGACAAAAAGTCATTTTTGTCAATTGCCACCGTGTCACTCAGTGGCAAATGACACTACCCAAAAAAAATCCCCCCCCCCCCCCCGCTTCACACCTTACACACACACTTGCACACTCACACACACTCCGTTCGTTTAATATCAACAAATCTCGAGAATGGAAACCGGCCTTCGGAGAAATGAAAGTTCAAGTTTATTTTCCCAAACGTTCGGAGAAATAGAGCCGGTCTAATTTTATTAAATAAACTCTGGTTTGTATTTTTAAAAATATTATCACTTAAATAAAGCTTGACATGTGTGGGTTTGGCTGCCAATACACGGTGAACTCGCCACACGGTTTTCACAAGTTCCTGTATGTGACGAGATCACTGGAGGTATGTGAAGAGTTTTAAGCACTAAACTAAAAATGAACAAAATACAATGCTTTGATCTAGATATAGATCTAGTCTATTTTACCTCTTCCATTATTATTAGATCTCTAGATAAATAGATCTAATATCTAGAACTAGATTCTAGATCTAGATTAGATTCTAGCTCTAGGCCGAGAAGGCTACTATCTCGGACTGTGACTTGCGCTAAATAACCTCTATCCAAGAAAACCTCTAGCCTCTAGAGATCATGCGCGCTTTCGCTAATTAAATGTAGTCGGCCAACTGATCTCCTTGGTCTGGAAAAAATAGACATCATTAGGCCTAGTCTAGATCTAGATCTAGATCTAGATCCAGATGTATGTTTAATCTAGATTTTTAAGTAGATTCTAAATGCATTCTGAGTTTTCATCATGCCCCTGCGAACGTCTTCCTTTAGCCCAACTAAAATAATAAACACTTAAAAAACGCAACTCTCTTACCAACAAACGAATCATCGTCGTCATCTTCATTACTAGATCCGTGTCCGTCACTGGGCTCGATAATATTCACAGTATCATTTTCTTGAAACCGAAGAGCACCGCTTAATTTCAATGGACCATTTTTCTTTTCATTCAAATTGTTAAAATAATCCGCAGCGAAAGCCTCGAGATTTGAGGGGCGGGTTCTCAGCACAGCAACGGTGAACTCCTGCAACAAGTCTGTCAAACCCGGTGGGATCTCGAAATTCATGATTCCACAAGTAATAACGTAAGAACGACTAAACCGACGATAATGCTGCGATGGGGGAAATCACATATTCCTTTCCAACACTTTGCACAAGAATACGTTATGAATCTGCACACTTAAACAAAAAACAAACAAAAGGAAAGCATGAAGTTGATCGGCACATTCCCCTCTCAGCACATAGGCCTAAGCTCCATTGAGTGAGAAGGAGGAAAAAATCTTCAAAAGTTACACACACTCTGACGTCACTAAGGAGGCCGCATCACGTACTGTAACACGGCGCCAGAGGTATTCATACGCTCTGTGTTTTTTAAATAATGTTTCTATTGTGCCGACGATACAGTAATATGGCATGTTTTATTCAACTTAAAATAAACTTCCTACAATTGTGTATTGTATCCACTGTTCCAAAAACAATGTCTTGAATAAATCTACTTTTTCATTGATCGAGTCAAGGTGACAAGTCGCCGGGTAGCGCTTTCCTTTCGCAAAATTTGTAACACTTGTTGCGCTCACAAAAACAGTTTTCTTTACAAAATACTGAAATAGAAGTTTAAAAAAACAGACTTTATGTAGAATATCTGGGCGCTTGACCAGCTATTTGTTATGTTCTTTACTCCTGAAACGTCGCTGAGGCTTTGTTTACTTTTTTTTTTAAACAGCAGTACGCACTATAATATAGAGGTTTGTTTCGTTTCTAATATATCAGATGCCGGCTCCTTAGCAAGAAGCGTTTCGCGTCAAAGATATTATTAGTTCTGTTTCTGTTGGGAGCGATATGAAGTACCTTTTCATTACAGCAGAAGTAGAAGTTTGATCGACGATTGTTATCCCAATTTTTATTCTTAACCTTGATTTAGTTATTGGATAATGTTCTCGCAATACAGGGCATCGGCCTATAAATTGTAACAGAGAGGAAATGGAAGGAATATGGGGGGAGGGGGAGGGGGGCTTAATTTACTTGTTTTGTATTATTTTTCTGCGCGTTTGTTTTTTGTTGGGTTTTTTTGGGGGGGTGGGGGAGGGGTCAAAAAGACTAGCGTTGCAACAAGGACATTCCATTATGCTGCTTAGAAAATAAGAATAACGTCCTTTTGCTTGTTTAGATTTTTTCTAGTTTGTTTTTGCTTTGTCTTGTTTTTTGTGGAGGGGTATTAGAGGGGGGGTTGTTTTGTTTTGTTTTGGGGGTACTTAAATTCGGGTCTGTTTCACTGTTTGTTTGTTTGTTTGTTTGTCTGTTTGTTTGTTTGTTTGTTTGTTTGTTTGTTTGTATTATTTGGAAGGGGGGTGCATTCACAGTTCACACTTAATAAAGGGGTTGAAATACATGTACAAAGGTCATGGGTAACAACAAAGGACATTTCATTATACTGTTTAGAGCTCAAGAATAACATCCTTTTTGTGGAGAAATGCACGCAGTGCCTTGAGCTCTTTGCTTAAAGTTTTGTACAACACAGTGGTGTGGTAGCATTTCTGAATGACGCTGCTTAATAAAACACACAATTAAATACAATATACATCAGCCAGTCACTAGGTGTAATACAACAGCAAGCCCTGCTATAAAAATATAATATTTATATCAGCCTTCATAGGACGTCTTCACATTTAAGAGCAACGGTTGTAATGAGGAGTGAAAGGACACTGTTGTAATAAAAAATAATCTAGATCTAGTAAGATTGAGCACGCTCATTATAATTTCTCTGTGTACACACAGGAGGGTAGGGCGGCGGAGCGGTTAGTGCGCTCGTCTCCAAAGCAGAAAGTCCGGGTTCGAGCATCGGTTCGGACATTAATTTTTTCACACCCTCCTGCCCACCCAGCAGTAATGGGTACCTGACTTCGAGCGAAGTAAAGGCGGCGTGGAAAGGAACTGGCTACCCTAGCACAATATGACGAAGGCCCATGGGAAATTGTCTCACTAACAAAGCAATCCCCAATGTCCGGATCGGATGCAGGAACAACTTTACTATTTACACACATAACATGTGCACTTTTGACCGGAGTGTCAGTAGGACAAGTCTATTTCAAGCAACTCAATTTAAAATTGTAAATGCAAATACGTGAAAATGAAGAAAAGTTTATTCTCAGTCCAACTATTTTTGCGTCTACGTGTTCTGCTCGCAAAAAAAAAGAAAGAAAAAGAAGAAAAAAACTGGAGGTTGTCAGGCAAGTCTTGTTTAAACTAGGAGTGCACCTAACCTCTCAACTCGCAGTGTTCTTGAAAGGTAAACAGGTGGCAATTTGTTCGTTTTTAAGGACAAGCGGGCTAACCCAGATTTCGGGGGTTTCCAGAAATCTTGACCTACACCAAAAGTGGGCATTGCCCTACCTATAAGAGAAGTTTGGTTTCACTGGTGTGTATATTTATTTGGTTGTAGAGAAAACTCTCCTTGTCTTTTAAAGAGTCTGAACAAGGGTCAAAAACTTTACCTTCAATTTTCTCAAAACAGCATTTTTCGGGATAGCCCCCTTGTGCTTAAAAGCGACCATTTTCAGTCGTGATTATCAAGTAGTGCTAGCTGTCTTCGTTTGTCATGTCGTCAGTGTCACTGGAAAAACAAATTCTTACCTCTGGCTGTGCAGCAGCAACAGGGAAAGCCTCTTTTCTTCCTCCCAAACACTACACGATCGTTTTGACGACGGTACAATTTAGCTGGAAATAGACCATCACACCAATGTACATTGTACTTGTGATTGAAAACTCCAGCCTAGGCACGAAGTAGTATGTGGGTTTCATCCGGTCTGTATTAGTATAGGACGTGAGGAAAATACGTAGCCTTCTGATCAGTATATGCATGTGTGTAATTTGTACATTCTGAGCCTTAACCCTATCCGTACGTCGTGTTTTACCTCTCTGGTTTTACTATCGTATCCATACGACGTGGGGAACTATGTGCCACCACTTAACCTTACCCGTACGTCGTGTTTTACTATCGTATCCATACGACGTGGGGAACTCTGTGCCACCATTTTCCAAAGAGGAAATTTACTAGTTAATCCGATCTGTATGCTTTGCGAAGCATTCTGTCAAAATGATTTTTTTTCAGAAATACTGAAAGTTTCAAAGAGATCTTCGTGCTAGAAGTATTCTAAAAAGTGAAGAATACAATCCCGCGGATGCAAAATAACCCCAGGGCGTACGGATGAGGTTAAGAAGTGAGTGCGGTACTACTATAGTTGTTGGTGACTGATGTCTTATAAAATAGAAAAAGAAGAGAAAATAGATGTACTGATAGATAGATAGATAGATAGATAGATAGATAGATAGATAGATAGATAGATAGATAGATAGATAGATAGATAGATAGATAGATAGATAGATAGATAGATAGATAGATAGATAGATAACACATTTCTCTCGGGTGTCTACACTAATACTAACATTTAATTTTTTTTTAAGTACATCATATTATACCGTCTGATAGCATGTTCATTTTGAAGTACAAAATGAACATGCTTTCAGACGGTATAATATGTTGTAACTTTTTTTTACCCTGCCCATTTCTATCAACTGGCGCTTTTGTTTTTAGTAGAAACAACTACTACAACAACAACAAAATGTGCAGCACTTTGGATTTTAAAATTGAATGTTAGTATAAGTGTAGACACCCGAGAGAAATGTGTTATCTATCTATCTATCTATCTATCTATCTATCTATCTATCTATCTATCTATCTATATGATGTAACTGATGAGCCGATGGATGTTAAATGACTAGACTACAATTTGTTTCACCAGGAGAGTGTTTTTCTAACTTTCATATCACGATGTCTGCATCCGTCAAGTGATTGAATGTAACGATTGTAAGTTAGATAAGGTAACACTTTATTATCACAGACGGAAAGTTTTCTTGGCTGTACAGGAACGTAAAAACACATGCAGGTATCTATAAAGAATCTAAATTATATATTACTCTCATTAAAATTCAACATGAAAAGAGTAATAAAGCTGATAAAATGTACATATCACATCAGATGCATCATTCAACCACATGCAGGAATTTTATTACAAGACCTCTGGAGTTATATACTCGTAGATACATACTCTAAAGATTTTGACAATAGACTTATGATAGATGGTAAAAAATTTCTTTTATATCTTTCTTTCTTTGTTTTTGGAGGTACATATCTACCCCTGCATTTTCTTACAATTTGCATGGAAAGTGGGTGTGATGGGTCTACATACCTACCCCTGCATTTTCTTACAATTTGCATGGAAAGTGGGTGTGATGGGTCGTTTTTAATGCTTTTTATCTTTTTCATAATTGTGGTGTGTAAATCCCACAATACCCCCCCCCCCAAAAAAAAGGACAAACCAACGCACTATGAACTACAAAGAGGACAGGCCCTCGACACCAATACCTATCAATCTCAACCTGAACTGAAAGGGACACAGCATCCCAGCAGACTGACAGTGACAGAGATACTCGATGAAATAATTCCCCCACTCTGGAATCGGAACTTATTATAATGTCTTCTGCTGCTGCAGAAATTTAGTGAGGTTTTTGGTGTGCTGAATAACATTTTTCAAGCTATTTCTGGTGTGGTTTGCTTCTTCTTTCCTATTAAACATCTGTCGTCCTTATCTCTCCTTCTTTTTTGTGTTTGTTACTCTCTTGTAACACCTCTAATCTTCGGCACATATATGACCTTATTGTATTTCAAGTGCCGTAAAACTGTTACTGAAACTAAGATATTTTTCTCAGAGTTCCTGTCCAACAGTTTTGGACCGGAGGCTGTGGTGTAACGGTTAGGTGCTTCTCTGTCACACGCTGAAGGCGTGAGTTCGAGTCTCGTGTGAAACAGAGTCAGAGTCAGAGAGAGAGAGAGAGAGAGAGAGAGAGAGAGA